CCCGAGCCCCAGCCCGCCGCTGCTGCCGCCGTCGCTGCTGCCGCTGCCGCCGACGCCGGAGGCGGGCACGCCGCGGCCGAAGGCGCGAGAGGCGACCCTCCATGCGACACGCGCCGCGCGGGACATCGGGGCCAGCAGGTTTGGTGAGCTTGCCAGCCACCTGGGTCCAGGATTGGGTGATGCAGGACAGAGCAGTGAAGCCTAATTAAAGGGGGCCAATATGGAACTAAAGGCGCTGAATTTGGGAGAAGCTCTCACTGAAGCAGAGCTTTTGAGCAGCAGACTCGCCATTCCCACCCTTGTCTTTGCCTGGCCAGCGATGCCAGCTGCACGCGGCTGACACCACACAAGAGGCGAGTCGGCGGCGTGAAGAGGATGCGGTATGGGTGGGACGCGACGTGGCGCCCACCATGCGATCCCTGCAGCCACTGCGAGCGCAGGCAGCGCCCAGGGCGGCCACTGGCAGATGCTGCTCGTCAGCACAGCCAGCAGGCCGGCCTGCAGGGCTGCCATCGTCTGCTGGCGACGGCCGTGCTGCTGCGTTGCCGAGAAGCAGCCGATAATGTGCTCCTGGGGATGGATCCGTTCGTGCAAGTGTGGGTGTGTGCGCATGTGTGCTTGAGAGCGAGAGAGAGAGCATGTGTGTGCGTGTGCGTGCGAGTGTGTGTGTGTGTGTGTGTGTGTGTGCGTGCGTGTGTGTGTGTGTGTGTGTGTGTGTGTGTGTGTGTGTGTGTGTGTGTGCGTTTGTGTGATAAATGCGCACATGCTGTTGCCTGCGCACATATGGTGTGTACAGCAGCCATAGGATTGCAGCGCCACAAACCGCCCCAAACGCGTGCTGGAAAAACCTGCAGGCCCCGAGTCAAGACACTGATGAACTGCCGGTCTACTGCTGGTCAACCACTGATTGACTGTCAGTCAACTGCTGGCCAACTGCTGGTCAACCGCTGGTCAACTGCTGACCAACCGCCGGTCAATCCCCGGCCAACCCCTGGTCAACCCCGGGTCAACCGCTGGTCAACCTGGTCCTCCGCACCTGCAGGACGGTGTGCTGCTGCAAGTCGAGGCGTATGAGCGACAAAGCGTCCCTGATGCCCTCAAATTGGGCCTGCAAGTCCACCGGCGG